TATGTAACCATACGTGTAAAAGTAGACACGTGTGTTCCTGTGCGCTATGTGTATGCACAACACATACTTGTGATACATGTATGCACATGCATGCACATATATATATGTATATCAAATCTATGTTGGCATGAGGCATTGTTAATGTATATATACTGTATATATGCATATGCACATTGCATTTGTTTCTATTTTAGCACATTATATAATAAATTATGTAATACAAACTTATAAGAAGTATTATATAATGCAGAGGTGTAAAACATGTCCATACCTCCACCCTCAGCCCTGGCCCTGATCGCATTAAAATATAACTGGGAAATATTTTATAAAATAAATAAAAATACAATAAAATATTGATAATGTTAATTTGTGTTTTTAGGTCACATCCTCAGGGATCCGTAAGTGGCCCCATTCCTCTCTCAGTTCAATACTAATAATAAAATGGGGACAAGGCAGGCTCAGTGTAAAGGGGGCAGACCTAGGTTCCAGGCCTACCTCTTAGGTTACCTCATCTCACTCATAATTCTGCTCAGGTGACACTTCTATACGAAAACGTTTGTGATCCCCATAAGCTTGGTAGTGCAGTGGATGGAGTGCTGGGCTGGAGTCAAGAAGGCATGAATTTAAATCCAGCTTCAGACATTTACCAGCTACGTGGAGCTGGGCAAGTCACTTAATCTCTTAGTCTCCTCACCTTTAAAATAGAGATAATGATGGCATATACCCCATAGGATTGATCTGAGGAGAAAATGAGTTAACGTAGGTGTAGTACTTTGTAAATCTTGAAGCACTATATGAATGCTTGTTATTATTGCTGTTACTGTCGTTATGGAACGCTCAAATTACTCTGCTTTTGTTTTGTGCGTGCTCATTTCTATACCTGTTATTCTCCTTGATTTGAAGGTAGGGTCTGTTTCATTTTGGTTGTCTTTGTATCACTTGAGCCTAGCACAGTGCCCTGAACACAGTAGGTGCTTAATAAATACTCATGGATTGATGAGATCCAAGATTTTCCTCATCTGAACTCTTTCAAACCGACTTTCTCTAAATCTCCAGCCCAGCTGAAGCTGGGTGCACACTTTCTTTCCTCTGTCACAAACTTTAGGAGGAAAGTCCCATCCATTTCCATTCTATCAACCAATTCATCCTTCTTAATGAAAATCAGACCCTGTCTACAATCTCCCCATCTCGATTCCGCCATTTTTTGAGGGTTGAAGTGATTGGGTCTTGATCACCAGCTCTGCCTTTGTTAGAGAGAAAGGTCCAGGAGACGTCTGGGAAGCTGGCTTCTCCCATTCCCGTCAAAGAGTCCCGGTTCAGCCCCTGTTTTTGTTGAGGACCACCCGCTCATCTCTCCATTCACCTAGCATCATCCTCATGTCTTCACTCTCTCACCCCTCGAGTCTAGCTAGTGCCTGAGGCTTGTTGTTAGTGCTTCCCTGACATCTGTCCCCTCCCAGCCACTCCCGGGGTCAGGCTTTATCACCTCGCGCCTGAGCTATTGTGATGACCTCCTAATCGATCATCTTGGCTCCATCTCTCCCCAGTCCAATTCTTCCATCACACAGCAACCAGACTGATTTTACCAACTTGAAGATCTTACCCTTTCCAGTCCCTTGCTCTCCAAACTCTAGTGACTCCCCATGGCTTCTGGGATCCGATATGAATTCCTCTTTTGAATGTAAGACATAGGCTATTTTAGCTCAGATCATTGGATCCTACACCTAAATCTGGATGGAACCAAAGAGGCCACTGAGTCCAACTCTCTCATTTTTCAGATGAGGAAACTGAGGCCCAGAAAAAATTACTAAGGGTCACCCAGGTATCAGAAGCAGGATCAGATTCTAGGTATTTTGACTCCCAACAGATAGAATGCATGCTCCATGTAAAACATGGTGGTCATTGCTGAAAGGGACATAAAGTGAAGGCAAAATACAGATGTGATTCATAGTACAACGGAAAGGCGAAGGGCCCAGGTTCACATCTTGCATATGACACAATCGCTTTGATGACGGATTACCCTGGCAAAGTCCCCGATCCTCATTTTCCTCATCTGTCAAATGAGAATATTGGACAAGTTGGCATCAGAGATCCCTTCCAGGTATAATCCTATAGTCCCTACCACAAGAAATTACAACAATATCCCTCAGCCTATTCCTTTTAAATCTAATTGTTAGAGTTGAATTAATATCCAACTAGTTCTATGACATACTTAAGGGCTGAGGCAGGGAAGCTCTTCATTGTGATGTGAGAGAGGCTGTTAGGAAACAATATGGAATTCCCAGTGAGTGGACTCTGTGTTAGATGAGTGTGGGCAGGTTAGTTTTAGATAATAGCAGAGGGAAGGAATCAACAAACAAGGGTGGCAGAGACGGCCTTTATCTCTGCTGTAGGAAGGCCTGTAGTCACGTTGTCTTGCACCTCAGTTGATTGCAAACAGCACCCGGAATTCACCAACATGACCAGAGACTTGAATGGATAATATTCCAGCAGGCTAATGGGATTACTGATATCCTTGGATTTTTTTTCTTACACCGCTGGGCAAAGTTGCAAAAAAGGAGGTGAGAAATCCAGGAAGCTTAACCAGAAAATATGGCACAGGTGTTTTCAACAATGGGATAGTAGATATTGTCAATATATGTCTTGAACAGACATTGCAGATGAACTGGGATCTGGGATTCCAACAGAAGAAGAGGAGGAGAAGGGAGCTCTATGGTGTCTGTTTCTGAATACTTTCAAACTTCTTTCTGAAAGAAAAGCCCATTTTAGTGCCAGTATTCTTCCTGTGAAGACTGTGAGTCATGGATCACTAAAGCCTCTGAAGCATTGAAGCTTGATAATCCCCTAGAGCAGAGATATCAAACAGATAGCAAAATATGCATAGTGTTAATTGGTGGTTTCCTAAGTCAATACGCAGCCCGCAGGGACCCTTAGGTATGGTTGGGTTACCCCTGTTTCTATTTGAGTTTGATATCACTGACCTACAGGGCAATGGAGGGGTGCTTGATAGGCATGGTCAGACTGAAACATATTATAATTCATCAGTCGACAAGCATTTATTTATTGTCTACTATGTGCCAATGCCAGGCACTGTATATATACACAGACATACATGTATATATATATATATACACATATATACACACATATATACATATGTACACACACATATACATATACACATACATATACATACACACACACATACATACATACACACATATATATATATGATTATACAGGAGAAGCAGTGTAAAAGATGTTATCAAAAGAATTTTTATTCTAAAGGAAGAGAGGCTGGTTGCTTAGTAAGAGCTAGAGATGACTCATGGACTGCCCTCATGCTTTGTGGTATTCTTGGGATGCAAGAAGAAAGTAAGGAAAGCTCTCAGTATGTCGGGTCCCTTGGGCTATGGGAGGACCCACAAAGAGTCCCATAGGATGGGCAGCCAAGGTTAGGTTGTGAGCTGTACATTTGGTGAAATGCCCATGCTGGTGAAGTTGCAGAGCCAGGGGAGTATTGGTGATGGGCCAGCCATCTCAGTGACCACCTCAGGTATTCCCAAGCAATGCTATAAAGGGGATAGATGGGGAATTTCATCGGAATTAGGGCATCGCATGGAAATTCAACTACCTCGATTGATTTTCCCAGCACCACCTGACAGCGTACCGTACCAGCTGATGACGCTTCTTGGTTCCATCCCCCATCAGACAGGTGTAATTTGGTGAAATTCACCAGTTTCCCTTTGTCTTCTTTGAATTCGACATTTTGAAACTTGCTTCCTCCCTTTTCTTGATCTATATTTGCCTTGCGTGCTCACGATTCAAAGTTTTCCCTTTTCTTGTAGCAAAATAAAAGGCTTTCTGAATCTTAAAAGCCTGAAATTTATCTTGGACGTGTGTTTTCTGCTTATCCTGAATAAATTCCATGTAAAACGGCATAAATGGTGCAGAAAGTATTTATGAATTGGGACTTAACATGTCACTGACACATTTTGAAGGGAGCTTTGTTGATCTTAGTGATGGGTGAGCTCCTTCTGCCAAGCCTGGCTGGAAAGGATGGCTTAGAGGCCTAAACATTAGTTATGGAAGATGGAGACTCCCTGGGACCACAGTTCTAATCAACGGGGTCAATCCAGCCCTTCATCTGGGTGAGGGATTGCATATCACCAACTTATTCCTTTGCAGCCCTTGGAATGAAATCACAAAAACCAGGCTGTCTTTGTTCTAGGTTGGCTTTAAAAAGCCCATGATGGTTTGTAGAGGAGTAAGGGTTTGCCTCAGGGCCCCCTGGTCCAATTTCTTGGGACCTGGCTAAAAACCCTGGATATTTGATAGTCTGGCTTATCCCTATAGTGTATTAGCACCCTATAAAAGTTACATTTCATTTATTTCAAGTTTAAGGCCCTCTCAAACGGCACGGGTAAACCAAACTTGAACCTTTTGTGGTTGGAATTCTGTTTACTCTTGGCCAAATGTTGCTTCCTGGTTCAAAGGAAAAGGCCTCTGGAGGGTCCTTGGAAATCCAATGGCTTTTAGAAACCAACGTTTTGATGGGCTAAATGTGAACGAATCTGAAACACATAGATTAGCTTCCTCTTAAAATACTCAGGGGCCTGAAAACGAAAGGAAATCGTGCTTGACAAAATGCATTTTGAACGTTGCTTTTCCTCAACTGTGAGCAAATATTGGAGACATTTGCCAAATTCGGGACCAAATTGGGTCTGCCCAGTCACCCCCACTTATAGTAAAGAAGTTAAATAGTTTCTATAAAAGTTATTGGGCAAAACAACTGAATGGGGCCATTGGAAACCTGGTCATTTCTGAGCATTGAAAACACATTTTTTAATCAATGGGAAAGAAGAATGGTCTTCAATGAGGTCTTGCTCTGATTGAGAAGGTTCGCATGGTTTTCTATGGGTTTACTGTCAGAACACAAGCAGACAAGCAAATGATTGTAATCTAGTGAAATCCCAATCATGGCAATGTCTGCATTTCAGTTAGAAGAGCTGATGAATGCCCTTGAAAAGACCAGACAAGAATTGGATGCTACCAAAGCTCGCCTTGCCTCAACACAGCAGTCCCTGGGTGAAAAAGAAGCCCATTTGGCCAACCTACGGATAGAGAGGAGAAAACAGCTTGAGGAAATCCTGGAGATGAAGTAAGTGCCAATGACTTGCTCTTATTTGACTTAGCAGAAAGTCCAGTGTTTTACATCTTCTATGCTGTTCTGGAGCTGGGGTAGGTCAGCTAATGATGGGAGATGTGGACTGGGGGGCCGCAGGGATTCGCCCTTCAAAAAAAAAAGAAATAGTAGGAAAATAGAAAAGTAATATGGAGGAACAAAGGATTTGGAGTGACTGGATAAAGTTAGTACTCTAATCATAATTTCTTGAAATAAATTTCTGTTTTATTAAATTCCAATTTGGATTCATAATACATCACTTTTTTTCAATTTGATTAATGTATATGTTTATCTGTGGGTAGATGTATAGATATATGGATATAGATATATAGATATATATATATACAGATATATACATATATGCATATGTATTTATATATACATATATACACACACATATATAATAGATATAGAGAGATATTATAACAGAATAGAAAAAAAACATGAGATCTTGTGAACCAAAATTAGAACTTAAGAAAGAAACCTTTTATATAGCCCCTTATCATTTGCCTCGAAGGTGATATTCATTGAGTTTGTCAATATGTTTTAGGACATGGATGGTCATACTGTCCAAGAATAATGCTGATTGAATCGTGCAGCTTGGGTCAAGATGGAAATTTGAGGAGAGTTATTTCCTTATTATAATTCTCGAGAGAGCTAAGATAATGCAGAATCTCTCTTAGTATCTGGTTAGGCCTCTCTTCCATGGAATATTTGGTGGGTTACCTTAAACCCATCAGACATCTCTGACTGTCCGTATAGGCAGTCCCTCAGCCAAAGGCAGATATTGAAGGCAACTCTTTAGTGATGTCTTTGGAGGATTTGGGTTTTGTTTTTAAAATGAAGCGGGGTGTAAGACTATTGATTGCCTGTGTTTAGGGAAATCCTGGGGTGGTAATCAGTGCGCACCAGTGGCTCATGTACAGCCTTCAGACTTAGAAAATTGCTGAGGATATTAAAGACAGTTACACTGTGGACAGTCACACAGCTAGTGTGTTTCACAGACAGGACTTAGAGCGAGATCAGACTCCAGACCCTCTCTCCATTAGGTCATGTTTCCTTTGATTTGATGGAATTTTTCTTGGGGGGTGGGGTGGGAGAGGGAAGGTGGCTGGACCTGTGGTTTCATTTAGGAGTATCCTGAATGCAGCAGGAACCAGATTAAAATATCATTGGAAAAGGTTGAACAAAATAAATAAAAACACAATACAACATAGATAATGTTAATTTCTGGTTCTCTAAATGTGGCAGGCTGGGATCCATTTTTATTGGAGTCTAACACCCGGGTAGTAGAACCAGCTACTCCTCTCCTCTGTTGGTGGGATTAAATAAGTATATTACATTCTCTCTCTCCTTCCTCCCACCCATACATATATACATATGTATGTGTGATTATGATTGTATACACATATGTAATTGGATTGTGCCACAGTGCAAGTCTATGGGAGGTAAGGTAGCTCTGTAATGTGAAATTTATATACTTACATACAGAATATTTTATGCAATAATATTTTATGTTCCAAGAACGCTATGAAGAATGTAGCCTTAGGCTATATGGTGAGGTAAGCCATTAAAAATGTATCATCTACTTTAACAGAACACTTGGTGAAGAGTAGTATTAATATAAAATTGGATTTAATTTTCTGAAACCTCTAAACCCTTTTCATTTCTGTGTTTTCCTACTTACTCTGGTAATTTCAGCTAGCACCTGAGGTAAAGAGAAATAGGAGAATCTGTTTCATTACATCCTGTCCATAACCAGAACATAGCCTCTGGATCGTTTTTGTAGAATGGGGCTTTCTGAGATATGGCTCTCAGTAGAAGCATTGGCAGGGAAAGGTTGGGAAATACACCCTTGGGGTAGAGGCAGGTGAGGGTAAGACAGGAACCAATATCTTTTATTTCTCCAATAAAGCTTTGTTTCCATATGTTCTTTGGTATGAAAATGGTTCATCTTTTGCTGAGGATAATGACATAGCTAAGTTGATTAATTTCCAGCTTCTGTTAAAAAGAAAGAAAGAAAGAAAGAAAGAAAGAAAGAAAGAAAGAAAGAAA